ATCTATCTATCTATCTATCTATCTATCTATCTATCTATCTATCTATCATTTTAATGCGAGTGCTCTGTCTGCATATATACCTGCAAGCCAGAAGAGGGCATCAGATCCCTTTATAAGAGGGCTCTCAGCCCTCTATCTATCTATCTATCTATCTATCTATCTATCTATCTATCTATCTATCTATCTATTTTAATGCGAGTGCTCTGTCTGCACATACACCTGCGAGCCAGAAGAGGGCATCAGACCCCTTTATAGAGGACACAACTATGTGGTTGCTGAGAATTGAACCCATGATCTCTGGAAGAACAGTACTCTTAAGTGCTGAGCCATCTCAGCCCCCTTATCTGTTATTTTTTTAAAAGAGTCTTACTATGCTGTAGCACTGTTTGACCTTGAACTCCACCTCTTGCCTCAGCCTCCCAAGGGCTAGCGTGGCAGGAGCATGGCAGGAGCATGGCAGGAGTGTGGCAGGTGCGTACCACCACCATATCTGGCAACAATGTTTAACCGTTGAAGAGCTGCCACACTGCTTTCCAGAGCACGGAGACAGCCCACCCTGGAGTGGGGACACCCATCCATGCCCCTGTCTCTGGCAGGTAGAACAGTATCTCTCTAGCCTGGACTCTGCTCTGTGTGAGTGCCTCACTACTCTGAGGTAGGTGGTTTCATGGGGTGCTGAGGGGGTTGGAGTGGTCCTTAAGGGCTGTCAGGCAGAAGTGGATCTGGTGTCCCTTGAAGCTTGGGGATAGTAAGGTTCACTTGAAGAGGAAGCCTTTCAACCCCACAGATGTTTCCATGCCAAAGGCATGGGGTAAAGTACTAGTTCACAACACTGGGCCCCTGGGACACACAAGTGAGCTGGGGTTAGGGGGCTGCTCACTGGAGTCTCAGCACCTGGGCAGCTGTCCTCATCTCTGGGTGTGGGTGTCAGGGAATTCCACGTCCCTTAGGAGCTTCCAGAGTCTCCGGAACCCTTCAAGCTCAGGTGCCTGACGTTCTCTGAGCTCTAGCTCATAGGGCCTGCCTTCTGGATCTCACATCTTTAGTCATAATGCCAAAGCCAAAGCCAGCCAGCCTGTGTCCCTGGCCTGTCAAGCATCTGCTCCCCACCATGCCTCCTTCCCCCCAATCCCCAGCATAACCACCATTTAGGAATCAACCTCACTTTACTTGAAGCCCAAGGACACTTCCTCCCATCCATCTGACAAGGCCCCAAGTTCCTTCTAATTCTTAGAGGCCTCCTCTTCTTCCTCCCTCAGGTCACCATTCCCCCACTCTCTCCCGTCCGTCCTTCCTTCTGCCCCAGCAGCCAGGGGCCACAAATCTCCACTCAGTCTTCACTCTGCTTAAAACTGTTGAGGGCGAGAATAAGAAGCAAGGATGGCATTTTAAAAACTGATGCCATCCGAGTTCTTGGGAGCCTCAGGGTTAATCTGGAAAGACAGCTCTTGTATTGAGGGAAGCTGTGTTGATGGAGTTGTCAGTCGCAGACAGTGGGAGAAGGGCAGCCTGCACCCAGCCAGGGTTAGTCTGAAATGACTGTCACAGGGCAGAGAAGACCTTTCACTCCCAAGAAATTGTTAACACGTTGATTTAAGGCAGAAAGATTGGCAGTTCTCCCAGCACTACAGGGCAAAGGGAGGGTATAAAGATAACGAACAACCAAATTGCTGCCTGCTTCCTCTCTGAAGCTCCAGGCTGGGATCTGCAGCTCTCATCTCAGGGACTAAGAGACCAGCAGGTGTTGGGCCTGGGGTACTGGTCAGAGCCCAGGGGCAGGCAGGAGGTGGGGTACTTAGTCCCTGAAGAGCTATATACCCTGTGATCTTGAAAAAGCCTCCTCCCTACCTGGTGCCAGTCCTCATCGTAGCCAAATGGAGGCCATGACAGTCTAATAGTCCCTGTTTCTGGTGATGAGAAACCAGTGAATCAGATTTAGCTGTAACTTGATGACATGCTGTCTCTAGACATTAACTTACATATTTAAAACGATCTTAAGACAGTTTACTGTCTTTGTACAAGTCTTCTCATAGTCAGTCCCCACCCAAGTACCTTTGATTTCTCTTATACGGATGTTTAACAATGTTTTGTTTTGTTTTTGGAGACTTGCTCTGTAACCTAGGCTGGGCTAGAACTCAGGCAATCTTCCTGGCAATCTTCCGGCAATCTTCTTGAGACCAGCCTGGGCAACAGGGCAAGACCCTGCATCAAAACACCAAAATAAGCAAATGAAACCAAACCCAAACAACACCAACAAAGTAATAGCAAGCTTTTCCTTCTTGGCTTTTTGATAGAGGAACTACATTGATTTTGCATTTGCAAAAAGACATATTTTCTTACTAATTTAAATCAGTTATCTATCTGTGAGGGTTTTCTATATTTGGCCTAACCATTCTCGAGGAGGCATTCTGTCCTCTAGAAGAATATTTGAGAATATATAGAGAAGGTTTTTTATACGTCCAAGCTATACTTATTTTAATGCATTTTTCTTTTATTTAGATTTTATGTGAAATTAAGCAAAATATTGAAGTTTAAAAAAATTGTGTGATTACATCAGGTAAGATTTTTATTTCAGAATGGGAGGAGGAGCTGAGAGCCTTACAGAAGAATCTAGAAAAGCAGCACTTGGAAATCTGGGACAGGAGATAAAAAATTCAGGGCCATCCTCAGCTATGCAGGCAATTGTGGGCAATAATAATATCATGAATAAATAAATAAGTAAATAAAAAATAGATACTTTAAGAAAAAGTTAATTTGATTTAGCTGTAAACTTCTGAGGCTTAAAAAAAAAAAGTATATGTACCTGGGTGAGTTCATGAGCACCACATACACAGATGCCTCGTGATCCAAAGGCCAGAAGAGGGCACTGAATCTCAGGAACAGGAATTCTAGACCATTTGAGCCACTGTGTGGCCTGGGACAGAACCCTGGTCTTCTGTAAGAGCAGTAAGCCTCTTAAGCACAGAGTCATCACTGCTGTCCTTTCTAAGACAAAAACAAAAACAAAACAAACAAAAGCGCCTCATACCTTGATTTTTTTGTGTATATGCTGTCTGGATGAGTGAGCAAGCTTAGCAGCAAGGGTTTTTACCTGCAGAGTCATGGTTCCAGCCCCAACTTCTGAGACTTTAAAAATAATTTTGGGGGCTGGCTATGGTGGAGCCATTTTATAGTCCCAGGAATTGGGAGCTGGTGGCAGAAAAACCAGTATTTCAAGGCTATCCTCAACTCAACTCCAGTTCCAGGCAAGCCTAGGTTTTTCTTTTTCCTTTCTTTTTGAGAAAAGGTCTTGCTATAGGAGGTTTAGCCCAGGCTCAGAACTCAGGACCCTGTGTGCCTCAGCCTCCTGAATGCTGCGGGTTTTGGCAAGTATCACCACACCCTTCTAGTCGCTATCATATTTAAGTAGGATTTTTGGATCTATTGTCTTGAGTCAGAAACATCTCTCCTTTCCCAACTCCTGAGGTCGCTGGGATATCAGAGTATGTTGAGCTTTTCAAAGGAGCCGGGAGCATCAGAGGGTGGCCTCCCCCTGAGGTGACTGGGTGAAGAACGAGGGCGGATGACACGAGGTATAGAGATATGATCCAGTTCCCCAGTCGCTAATCTAACGATGCCCAGAGCTCCATGCTTTTCTGGATCCCAGTTGGAACTGGCCTCTCGGAAATCTCAGCCCAGCTGACCAGCCTAGCACCACCACGGAGAGATGGCCAGTGGGGCAGGCTCGCTCCCTGGCGGCGCATGGGCCCAGAGGAGGCGGCAGGCATGCTTGGGGCTCCCTGGACCCAGGGGTCTTTCCTGTTCTTGGACACCAGAGCAATCCAGCCTCAGAGAGGAGTGGCCAGGCCCCACAGTCACATGATGCACTCAAATCTGCTGCCTTCCTACCTTTCTAAGCTATGAAATGCCAGAATCTTAATATTTTTATCCTCAAATGAAGACAACTTTTTGTCAGGGGGCTGAGAACAAGGCATCAAAGCAGGGAATTCGGATTTAATGATGCTCACTTGTCCTCAATGAGGGCTGGCATCAGGACCGTTTGCTGAGGGCCAAAGGCCTCTGTCACGCATTCATTTCCTTCGTTTTTTATTCCACAGTTTATATTGGCATCCTGGTAGACGGAACCAATTGTCCTCCAAGCATGTCCACACCCTAATCTCTGGAACCTGTGACATGTGACTGAAAATATGAACAATGCTATTGCTAGAGAGCCGGGTTTACAGCCCGTAGATAATAGCTGGGTGTGGAGACAAACCTGTAACGCATACTTTGGGAAGTGAAGTCAGGAGGCTCCGGAGTTCAAGAGCATGCTTGACCACATAGCAAGTTTCAGGGCAGCTTGGGCTACATGAAACCTTGTCTTAACAAACAAGATGGGAAGCTAAGCCTGGATAACCCAGGTGGACTCAATTTTAGCTCTAGGGAAGGAGAGCAGTGAGTGGAGAAATAAAGAGTCAGGGAGATATCTGGCTGTAGAGAAGTATAGCATTGCTGGTTTCAGAGATGAAGGAGGTCTCCCTCTAGAAGGTAGGGAATAAGGAGAATCTATCTTATTGTTCTCCAGCTAGGTTCTCCCCTAGAATAATTAGGTAGGTAAGCAGTCTTACCAACACATTGACTTTAGCCTAGTGAGACCTGTGTTGTCAGAGAACTGCAGGATAAGTGGGTTTGTCCCAGGCTTGGAAAGCTGGAAAGGGAATTTGTTACAGCAGCAACAGGCTAATACAATGTTCTCACAGATCTAGTCCACAGCATTGGGACAGATTGCCACTGTCCACTCAGCCATGCCCTTTCTAAAGCATTTGGGGAAGCAAGGCTGAAGTACATACAGTCAGGGCTCCAGAACGGTGGCTGCGATGGCGCCTCCTGCTGCTGCCCTGAAGGACCTTCACTTTTCACTTTGCCCTCACATAACACCCCTTAGTTCCGAGTGTAAACTGGCTTCTTGGCGCTCTGCTCTTTGGTGGAGGAAACGGTGGAAATGGCAATTCATAACTGTGCTGCACTTGACAGGTGACACTGAACTTGGCCGCCATACCTCGCTTGCTGCCCATAATGAATGGAGAACGGAAGGCTGGAAGGCTGCTAGGTGAGGATGAACAGATAAATATCCCCAGCCCAGAGGTCTTAGGAGTTGGCTTAAAACAAGAAAAACACCACCTAGATATGTCTGAAGCCACCCCTGACCAAAATTGGACCAGAACCCCTGAAGTTGAGGCCAGAGACATGCACTAGGATAGTGTTTTCCAGATCCGTCCTCAAGGTAATATCAGTGTGCATCAGGGTTCGGCTCCCCTCTGCCCTCGGGAGACCCCGCATCGCGTCTGTGGCTACAGTGCAGCTCCGGGTTGTGCAGCGCCTTCCACATGAGCAGCATCTCATAAGGCGCGAAGCGATGCACCAGCAACAGCTCGCGGTACACGCAGGGGTCGAAGGACGAGCGTTTCACACCGGGCAGTTGCACGCCGAAGGGCCGGATGCCTTCGTGGCCGCTGGGCGCCAGGCCGGCCTGCTGCAGACACATGCCCATGTAGGCGTCGTCGATGGGGAAGAGCGGCACGCGGCGCGCCGCCCTGCGCAGGTGGCGGGCCGTGAGGCTGGACAGAAGGAAGCCGCCGCCGCTGCAGTACACAGGGTAGGCCTTGCCTGGGAAGAGCTGCGGGGGCACGAAGTACTTGCTCCCGCTTTCGCGGATGGGCATGGAGCCATCCATGAGCTGCCCGGCGAAGAGGTGGCGCTCCGGCGGCTGCACCTCCAGGAACTGCAGCACGTTGGCGGTGTGCACGAAGACGTCGTCGTCGCAGCTGAGCAGGAAACTGGCGCCGGGGCAGCGCTCCGCCGTCCAGTCGAGCAGGTGCAGATGCTTGAGCGTGAGATTGAGGAACGTGTCCCAGAAGTCCCACTGCAGCACGTCGCCGCTCTCGCGAGCCTCCAGGCGCAGCAGGTCCGCCAGCTGGGGCTCGCGCTCCACCTCTTCCGGGGGGGAGGTCCCCAGCAGGAAGAGGCGCCGAACCTGCCGGCCGCCATAGCTGCGCTCCTGGCCCCACGTGCGCCGGATCAGCTCCCGCCGCTCGAAGTTGGGCGGCGACGACTTGATGGCCAGCAGCAGGAAGACGCCGCGGGGGCCCGCGCACTTGTGGGGCGTGTCCCACAGCTGCGGGAAGCGGCGGCAGTGGCGGTAGCGCAGGAAGTCTTGGATCCGAGCTGGCAGCAGCTGGAAGCCAGCAGTGAGGTTCGCGGAGGCGTTGGCCACGCACGCCGGCACCGGGAGAAGCGGGGAAGGCTGCACCGCGGCAGCAGAAGACCAGGGAGCAGCCCTGGGTTCCTGGGGTTGCTCCCGCGTGGGCTGCTGAAGGAGCCACTGGTGCAGCACCACGAAAGTCACCCCCGCTAGAAGAAAAGCCAGTGTGTTGGGATTCTTGGACCTGCGGCTGGGCAAAGCCATCGGGGGGATTGGGGAAGCAAATCAAAGATGAGCCAGGAATCTTTGATACTAGTGGAATGCCTCTCTCCTCATCAGGTCTCTCTCAGAATCCAGTTCGGCCTCTTCTCAACTCTGCTAAGGGGTTACACGAAGCCGAGACTTGCGGTGCATGCCTGTAGTCTTTCAGTACACAAGATGAAAGTGGCTGGAGAATCCAGAGTTGTGCTCATCCTTCACTACGGAATGGGTCGAAGACCAGGCTGGTTACATGTTTGTTTCAAAAGCAAGCAAGCAAACAACAACAACAAAACAACCTAATGACCAACCAAGAAAACCAACAAAACAAAAGGGCCTGCTTCAGTTGTCACAATGCTGTCTAGCATGAAGGCGGTTCTGGTTTGGGTACCCAGCAATACATAACCTGGGTATGGTGGCTCAAACTTGTAATCCCAACATTCAGAGAGGCTGAGGCAGGAGAATCAGTGAACCAAAACAGAACAAGGAATGGGGCTGGGGTGGAGCCCAAATTCCTGTGGACAGTGAGCTTCTTAGGTGTCCCACAGTTGAGAGGGCTCTCGCCCTCATAGCTGTGTTTATCAGGGCTGATGCATGCCCTCCTGATGTTACCCAGGACGACATATGCTCAAAGTCAGTCTCCACCTTCTTTCCATCCAGCCCTTTCTCTGTCAGTGGTACCACCGTTCACCCATTTGCTCAACCAGAAGCCCCATGCCTCTCACGGTTCCTCTTCAGGGTATATCTGCCCACTCTCTGCTGACTCTACATTTCTCTCAGGTTTATCCCTTCCTCTCCATCTCTGTCTAGCTGGATCCAGTGCTGGCTGGGAGGACAATATAGTGGAGCAAATACTGCTTGCTTGGGTTTAGATTCAGCTTCTGGTCAATAAACGCTATGCAGATGATCGATTAAGGAGGCATGGGGCCAGGTCATGAACTAAACTACATTTCTTGGTCACTGCTTAAAACTGCACCGCAATGAAGCCAGTCAGACCTCTGGCCCCACTGTTTTCACCTCTAATGAAGGGTTACATTACTGGGCCCCAGAAGCGTGGTGAGACTTGAGTATCCCACGGGCACCAAATGATATCAGATTACGACTCTTTGCCATCCTCCTGTGTCTACCTGTTGGTATTCGTTATTTTCCAAGCCTTCAAGGTCAGACCCTTTCTGGCAGCTAGCCTGCTCAAGCCTTGCCAGAAAAATTTCACTACTTGATTGTGCGTGTTGGCATTGTCACTCTTTTCGTGTGTACATTTCTTTTGTATACATGGTCAAGGATGTAGTCAAGGATGTAGTCAAGGATGATGAGCTTTAAATTCCGGTTCTCTTCTGTGCTGGCTGGTTTTTATGTCAACCTGATGCAAGGCATCTGAAAGGAGGGCACCTCAGTTGAGAAAATGTCTCCGTAAGATCAGGCTGTGGGGCAGCCTGTAGAACATTTCTTAATCAGTGATGGATGAAGGAGGGCCTGTCCGTTGTGGCCGGTCCTATCCCTGACCTGGTGGTCCTGAGTTCTCTAAGAGAGCAGGCTGAGCAGGCCAGAGGAACAAGCCAGCAAGCAGCACCCCTCCATGGCCTCTGCATCAGCTACTGCCTCCAGGTTCCTGCCCTTTGAGTTCTGGCCTTGGCTTCCCTCAGTGGACTATTCATGAAATGTAAGCCAAACAAATCCTTTCTTCCCCAAGCTATTTCATCACAGCAATAATAACATTAAGACATCCTTTTCTCTTTCTTCCCTTCCTTCCTCCTTTCCTTTCTCTCTTGGTTTTCCAAGACAGGGTTGCTCTGTGTGACCTTGGCTACCCTGGAACTTGCTCAGTAGACCAGGCTGGCCTTGAAGTCAAGTAAGATCTTCCTTCCAGCCTGCTGGGCCACCACCATCTGGTCTTCCTTCACTTTTTAGTTCTAGGATTACTGGAATGGCCAGCTGCCACTCCCTGTGTAAGGCAGCGGGAGTAAACTTTGAACACTGAGGGCGCATACACCATCCTCCCTCACCTAGCTATCTGTCTCATCTCTTCTTGCCCTGGAATTTTGTCCCGCGCTGTTTACCAACCTGAGCACTCCTACCCTACTCATCTTGTGGTACACTTGAAGAAGTAAGACCTTGAGAACGCCTCAGGGGGGATCAAAGGAGAGCAGGCATGCTGTCATTCCTCTCTGACTTCCCTTCTGGCCCACCAGCACCTCTGGGGCAATGATGGAATCTGTGTTCTTCACCATTATAGTCTTAGGAGATGGTTTGGTGTGGTGAATGCTGTCTATCTGGGTTCAAATCCTACTTTCCAGCTGCATGGTTAAGCAAGCAGATATAGGCTTATTTCATACCTAGCCCTTAAAAGTCTTTGTTTTTTGTTGTTAATTCTAGTTTGAGACATGGTCTCACTCTGTAGTCTAGGCTAGTTTCAAACTCCGGACCTTCTTGCCCCAGCCTCCCAAGTGTTGAAATTATGGGTATACGCCACGATATACCTCTGAAGAGGATTTTTGTTTGTTGTTTTCTTTCCTTTTATTTCTTGGTGTCTGGTATAGGGAAATCAAACCAAAGGCCCTGCACACACTGAACAAGTGCAGTGCCACGGAAGTTACCTGCCTGGTCCTCCTGGGACTTTTAATGACAAGCAAATAGTAATATATATAAATAATTCAGTACAGGAGCCAGAGATGGGAGTTCATACCTATAATCCCAGATTCAGGAGGCTGAGTAGGAAGATGACGAGTTCAGAGCCAGCCTAGGCTACAGAGTGAGACTCAAAGAGGGCCAGTGAAATGGCTTAGTGGAGTAAGCTGTTCACTACTAAGCCCGATGTCCTGAGTTAGCTCCCTGGGATCCACATGGTGGAGAGAGAGAGATGGCTCCCAGAGATTGCCCTCTAACCTCTACACCTATGCCATGGCATATATATTACAAATACTCTTAAACAATAGTGACAATAAATATTTTTTTAAAACCAAAAGGAAAATAATAACAGTATAGTATTTGGCACATGGTAAGTGTTCAGTAAACGTTACTATGACCGTCAAGTGCTGAAGAATGTTCTAGAACATGTGCTCAGCATGCATTTTCATGTATATGCATATACATACATGCATACGTATCGATGCTAGTGTTGCGGGGACGGACTATGCTCCAGCACTTGTGCACTACAATCCTTACAGCGTCTAGCCGAGTGAGCACAGAGCAGGTGCCCAGGGCAGAGGGGCAGCGGCGAGCTGCTGCGACAAGTAGAGGAATCTAACTCCTGATAACTTAGAAAAACCAGCTGTCCTAACTGGAAGTCTCCATGTAGAAAAATACAAATAGACCCATACTTATCACCCTGCACAAAACTAAAACCCAAGTGGATCAAAGACCTCAACATAAAACTAGACACACTAAACCGCTTAGAAGAAAAAGTGGGGAATACCCTTGAACTCATTGGCACAGGAGACAACTTCCTGAACAGAACAGCAACAGCACAGGCTCTAAGAGCAACAATCAATAAATGGGACCTCATGAAACTGAAAAGCTTCTGTAAAGCAAAGGACACTATCCTCAGAACAAAACGACAGCCTACAGATTGGGAAAGGATCTTCACCAACCCTATATCTGACAGAGGGCTAATATCCAGTATATATAAAGAACTAGAGAAGTTAAACAGCAAAAAATCAAGTAATCCAATTTAAAAAATGGGGTACAGAGCTAAACAAAGAATTCTCTGCAGAGGAATATCAAATGGCAGAGAAACACTTAAAGAAATGCTCAACCTCATTAGCCATCAGGGAAATGCAAATCAAAACAACCCAAAGATTTCACCTTACACCCATCAGAATGGCTAGGATCAAAAACTCAAGAGACAACACATGCTGGAGAGGTTGTGGAGAAAGGGGAACCCTCCTCCACTGCTGGTGGGAATGTAAACTTATACAACCACTCTGGAAATCAATCTGGCACTTTCTCAGACTACTAGGAATAGCGCTTCCTCAAGATCCAGCTATACCACTCCGGGGCATATATCCAAAAGAGGCCCAAGTACACAATAAGGACATTTGCTCAACCATATTTGTAGCAGCTTTATTTGTAATAGCCAGAAGCTGGAAACAGCCCAGATGCCCCTCAGTGGAGGAATGGATGCACAAATTGTGGTGTATTTACACAATGGAATATTACTCAGCAATAAAAAACAGGGAAATCATGAAATGTGCAGGTAAATGGTGGGATCTGGAAAAGATCATCCTGAGTGACCTATCCCAAAAGCAGAAAGATGCACACAGTATATACTCACTCATATAGACATATAATATAGGATAAACCTACTAAAATCTGTACATCTAAAGAAACTAATCAAGAGGGAGGACTCTTGCTAAAATGCTCAATTCCTATCCGAAAAGGCAAAGAGGCTGGACATCAGAAGAAGGAGAAAAGAGGGAACAAGTCAGAAGCCTGACACAGAGGGCCTCTGAAAAGCTCTGCCCTGCAGACTATCAATGTAGATGCTGAGACTTATGGGCAACCTTTGGACAGAGTGCAGGGAATCTTAGGAAAGAAGTGGGAAACAGTAAGATCTGGAAGGGGCAGGAACTCCACAAGGAGAGCAACAGAACCAAAAAATCTGAGCACAGGGGTCTTTCCTGAGATTGCTATTTCAACCAAGGACTATGCATGGAGATAACCTAAGACCCCTGAACAGATGTAGCCCATAGCAGTTCAGTATCCAAGTGGGTTCCATTGTAATAGGAACAGGGACTGTCTCTGAGATGAACTGATTGGCCTGCTCTTTAATTACCTCCCCCTGAGGGGGAAGCAGCATTACCAGGCCACAGAAGAAGACACTGCAGCCACTCCTGATGAGACCTAATTGACTAGGATCAGAAGGAAGGAAAAGAAGTCCTCCCCTATCAGTGGACTTGGGGAGGGGCATGCATGCAGAGGGTGGAGGAAGGGAGGGATTGGGATGGGAGGAGGGAGGGAACCACAGGGGGGATACAAAGTGAATAAAGTGTAATTAATAAAGAAAGAAAAAAGAAAAGAAAGAAAAGCCAGCTGTAGATTTCCACTGTTTTGCTCACAGCCCTGACTCAGTGTTGATGCACTAGAGGAGAGGCATGTTACGGTCATAGCCATTAGTGCATACTCCCAGGTCTGGCAAATTTGGGCCAGTGATTTTATTTTATTTTTTTTATCTTTCTCTCTCCTTCTCCCCCAGCCTTCCTTCCTTCCCTTTCTTCTCCCTGCCCCTTTTCTTCTGACAAGGTCTTAAGTACTCCAGCCTGGCCTTCAAACTCATGTATCCAAGGTAACTTTGAACTTCTGATCCCTCTGCCTCTCCCTCCCAAGTGCTAGAATTACAGGCATGTGCCACACTGGCCAGAGTATGTGGTACTGGGAATGGAACCCACTGCTTCATACATGCTGGGCAAGCACTCTACCAGCTGAGCTATACCGACAGCCTATAAAGATCTTTTCAGTGAATAAAAGAATACAATGAATGAACGTAGGATCTGGAGTCTGAATAATTGGGCTTAAGTCTCAGCTTTTTCCGTGGGTTAGTTAAGCTCCCAAGTTTGAGTTTCCTCCCTGAAAAACATTAATCACACCTCTCAATGATCATACAAATGTTTAAATGCCTTACAAATGCTAATTAACTATTAAACGTTAGGTTTACTTTTATTTTCTGAGACTGGCTGGTCTGAAACTATGTAGAAAAAGCTAGCTTCAAACTCACGAAAAGCTGGGATTTAAGGGATGCACCACCAAGCCCAGATTATTTTAGCTTTTTTGAGACAGGGTTTTATATGATTTAGACTAGTTTTGAACTTCTGATCTCTGTGCCTTCACATCCTTGGTGTTGGGGTTATAGGCACCTACTACCATTCTCATTTTAAAACATAATTTAAAAGCATTTCTCTAAACCAGGTGGTCATGCAAATCAGCCTTCAGGAGACTGAGACATCCTATACATAGCAAGACTGGTTTATTTTTTCAATTCACGTTTTTCACTTTTTTTGGTGTCAAGTTATTTCTAGAAAGAAAAAATTTCACTGTTTCAATGTATCTTTGAACCAGTAAATCTTGTTTCAACGAAGAGAACACTTACATAAAGCTGAAGAGCCTGGAGCTTAGCCAACTTTCAGTGTAAAAGGAGGGAAGTAATGAGTGGGGAAGGGCAGGCCCTTTCTGAGGGCGGAGCTGGCTCTCTCCAGGATGTACAACCTCTGACTTGGCTCTAACTTAACACCAACTGTCCTCTCTTTGGCCATTTTTGCTGGACCTCCCTTTTCTAAAACTACTCTTCCAGGTGCCTGGAAGCACTACACCTAAAGCTGCTCTCTTTGGGCCCTTGCTCCCTTCCCTCAGCTTGTTCTCAGCTCCAGCACTAGCTCCTCCAGTCACTTCCTGGTAAGTCCAGGTCAACAGATCTCTCCTTCTTGATGCTGTGGCTACTGAGCTTGGACGAAAGAGGGCAGTCTGTCTCTTGAGCCTTGACTGTGGGACTGGGCAGGTTGTCTCAGCAGCTCATGCTGTGAGTTGATGTGACTAAGTATTTAGAAGTTTGGCTGCCATGGGTTGAGCAGCACAGTAACGTCAGTGCTAATAGGTGCGCCTTGTGAGGCCAGGCTGGCCATCCTCCTTTCCACTGGCATTTTGTGGTCCTCTGGCTGCAGCTCACTGCTTAGTGTTCTGCACTCGTAATACAGGCCTATCTGTTCTGAATTTACCCTCTTCCTTCCTAAGAACTGCTTTGGCTATTTCCTCCTCTGGTTTGATGCCCAGATGGCAGGGCCACCCTCCAGCACCCAGCAGCATCCCATAATGTCCCAGGGGAGCATTTTTAACAGAAGACATGACAAGCAAAGTAACTTTTGCTTTCTCGTTGCCTCTCCCCAGCACCCCATGAGGCCCTTGGGGCTGCATGGACTATGCAATTTTCTTCTCTAAGAAGGGAGTGCAGTGAGAGGAGGGTACAATTAATCCCCCAAAAGTATAACCCCAGGTTTTGGCAAGATGCTTCAGTAGATGACCCTGCTGTCGAGCCTGACAGCCAAAGTTCAATCACCAGGACTTACATGGTAGAACTAGAGAACTAACTCCTGCAGGTTGTCCTCTGACCTCCACATGTTCTCTCTCTCTCCTTCCCCCTGACCCCTCTCTCTTTCATACACACAAATAAATATGTCCCTTCTCAATAAAAGATCCCACCCACTCCATCTTACCTTGTGTGTTTGAGAAAGGAGAATCAGGCCTGTGAAATCCCAGACTGGCTCAGCTTGCTATACACCGGGTTCCACCCCTCTGACAGTGGCTTAGTTTAGTGTTTTTCATTTGACCAATCCCAGTCCGTCACTCCTCCTCCTCAGGGTAGGGTAAAGGTAGCCACATGCTTCCTTAATCCATGAAACCAAGTGCTTGCTCTTTCAGATCAAGCCTGGATGTTGCCGCCCCTGGAAGTCTCTCCTCCGACCCCTCTACCCAGATTTTTGCTGTGTATTCTTCCAGGGACTACAAACAGGATGAACAAAGCATCTTCATGCTCACTGTCACAGTCAGGGCTTTTTGTTAGATTAGAATCATTCTAGGTATAGGACCTGCTGTTAACATAGGGCATTCTTTATTAGATAAATTGCATATAGGGGCTTGGGAGATAGCTCAGTAGGTAAAGGGCTTGGCATGGAAGCATAAAGGTTTGAGTCCCTAAAACCCTTGTCGAAAGGCAGGCATGGTGGTACATGCCTGTAATTCCAGCTCTGGAGAGACAATGACAAGAGTAACTGGGGCCTTGCTGGTCAGCTTTAGGTTAATGGTGAGAGACTGTCTCAGAATTTAAGGGGGAGAGTGATGGAGGAAGGCACTTTGACCTCTGATTGGCACATATACCTGCACATGTATACACACTTTAAAACACAAAAATGACATTAGAGTATACTGATTTTAAGAGTAGGGATGCTGGAACCTAGGGCCTTATGCACACATAACCCCAGCCCTCAAGAAACTCAGCATATCTTGGGAGACAGAAATCATCTGCAAAATGAAAATGAAATTATAAGGCATGAGTAGAATGGCAGAGGAAGATTAGGGAAGGGCACCAGAGTGAACCCAGAAGACTTCCCATTTGAGCTACAGACAGCCACAGTCAGTATTTCTCAATATTCTGTGGTTTGACGCAAGTGTCTTACGGTGGACCCACCAGCTTCTTCCTGTGGCCATCTGTATTCAGTGAGTGGTAAGCTAAGAGCTGGCCCAGCTGGCACTGCTGAATTTCATGGCACTGTGGCCTCTGGGCACTGGAACGTGCATAAAGTCATTCCAAACAGCTCAGTGTCATAGAGCAGCCCAGATGAAAGGGGCAGAGAATCCAGAAATTCATGGTGATATTTAACCTATCACATTGAAGTCTGAAAATGGTAAGGGGTTCTTAGAGCAGACAAGGAGGTGTAGAGGGGGAGGAGGCACTCGGTAGGGGAACATGCTGTGAGGCACTCCAACTGTACCAAGGGTGGAGGCCCATTAGGCCTGACGATGGAAAGACAGGTGAGAGGGCTGGGGAGAAGGGCCTTGAATGTCATGTCTAGACTTTTGCTTGATTCTCTAGAACTTTCAGAGGTCCTGACTATTCGCATGGGTCTTCTCTAGCAGCCTACACTGTAGGTAAGATTAACAGATGGAGATAATCTAAGGTTCAGGGGACGGGGATAATGCTTACTGCTGAGGCCTAAGTAGGAAGGGGCTCTCAAGGGTAGAGGGGGCATCTTCATAGCTTGGTGACTTACTGGAGGGTCTGTATGAACGTTCACTTCTCGGCTCCTTGTTTTTCTTACCTAGAGGGTCTGTTAGGGTCTGCATGAGATGAGTGAGGGGTGAGAACAGGGGGAGTGGAGGTGGGAGGGACAGAGCAAAGGTTTCTAATGGACTGGTCATGGAACTCTGAAGACTTAATGGAAACTTCATGGAAGGGTGAAGTTCTGAAGGGGCTGTGAGCACCAGTGAGATCTGGGTAAGACCAGTCCCAGGAAGGGATTTAACTACATTACTCTCCAGGACTAGAGCCTACCATGTTTGAGGCCATAGCTGGGTGGCTGACTGGATTTGAACCCATTTTCTGTAAACCCCCCCCCCGAAAACTTGAGAGTAAGTTGAAGTAGAGAGAGGGATTCTTGGGTGCAATGTTATTAAAATAAAATAAAAACCTTAAAGGTGAACAGTTATGACCTCTCTAAGTTTCTGGAGTGGCCAGAACTAATGGAGGCAATGGTGTGGGAAAGAGTACCTTTGAAAATATATGTGCTGTTCAGAGGGGTTATTAAAGCAAGCTCAGGTCTTTCTTAACCTTCTCGTTTATAGCAGGTGGTATAAAAAGTCTTGGTCCAGTGGCTATTCTTCCACACCTTAGCGTGAAAGACAGGAGTGTAATTTATTTCTTACTTCTTACTTACTTCTTTATTTTTCCAATACAAACAGGGTTTGTGGGCACAGGCCAGCCCTGATATTTGTTCTAGGCCACACAGATCAGTGAGAGGGAATGGGGACAAGCACTGACTCTGTGTTTGCCCAGAAGTTATGAGATACTCAACAGTCCCAGGCCAGGCAATCTATGACAAGGATACTGTTTAGAAGCCACTATTGGATTTATGTAACAGAGTGCCATTTCACAGATACAGAATCTAAATATTAGTTAAGTGACTTGGCTGCAGTTACACAGCTCTTCAGTGGAGGACCAGGATCCTAGCCCAGGTTTTCACACAGGAAGCAGGGAAAGGATGTGTCTAGCAGAGGATGACCTGTGCGCTAAGCCCCCTCATGCCAATTATGTAGCTAGCTCTGCTGACAGCCATTCCCTGCTCAGCCTCGGGGCTTCTCCAGGCTGTCCTCTGAGTGGCTGGTGTCTCTTTGAGTTGAGGTTCTGTTGACTTTGATCAACCTATTCATATCTGTGTCCGTGAGAAATGGGATCTAAAGACCTGAAAGAATGGGGTGACTGCAGACTGTAGACAGCCTTTTTGCAGTTTCAGTGTATTTTTATACAGGAATGAACAAAGAAAGAAATGATACAAGGAAGGCTGAGTTCAGAAAAACATGTAAATAATGACCAGTAAGCATATACCAAATATTAGCCGAGCAGAACTTTCTCAAGCACAGACCAATTTAGACACAATTGTCTGGTACATACTGCACCTTATATCCAGGAAAGCATGGAAGCAAGGAAGAAAGCCATATCCAGATCAGTGAGAACAGTGAAAGGAAAAGTATTGGCTCAAGACCAAGTTCTCAGCAAAAAGATTTATGTGCCCTAGAGGGCCAGAGGGCAAGGATAAGGGACAAAAACAGGTGACAGAGGAAGAGGGAGCAGGGAGGGAATAAAGGAGAGAGGAGAAAAGGGGCAAGGGAGAAGGATAATGGGTTATTTGTCCTAGAGTGAGACAAAGGACTTCCTCTAGATAGAGAGGAGACAGACGTGGCACTCAGCATATCCTTTTACCAGACTGGTTTCTACAGCTACTACGATCTGACATCCAACAAGAACACAAACATATCTCATAAATTGAATGCAAATATTTGTCACAGGAGGTAAGAAATCATGTCCAAAAACAATCCAGGAAACAAAATGCACTTGAGGGTAAAAGGCCTTCTGCCTTTTTTCCTGGAGCCTCTCTACAGTTCTCTAAGCCATTGCTCACTATGCATCATTCTTTTGACCTTGTTCTGACAAGGGTCCCTTATCCTTCACCATTCCTCTACTGCAGTCTGGGGTGACTCAGTTTCCAGGACTCAGCCAGAAGTTCCTTCTGTGAGCTCCCTTATTTCCATTATTAGCTATGTTCTTCGAGTTTGTGACTTCAGCCCCAATTTCAGCTAAAGGTCAGACTTGTTTATCACTATTCTACTTCCCACCAGCATGCTCATACTGTAAACCCAGGGACGCCTTCTGGGGTGGTGGCCCATGCCTGTGACTCCCACACTTGGGAATTTGAGGCTACTCTGGGCTACTTGTCTTACACTTTTTATTGATGTGATAAAACACTATGATCAAAAGTGACTTAAGGAGGCAAGGGTTTATTTCAGCTTACAACTTTCAGGTCACATTCTACTGATGAAGAAAGACAAGGCAGGAACTTAAGATAGGAACCTGGAGGCAGGAGCTAAAGCAGAAGCCATAGAGGAACGCTGTCCACTGGCTTGCTTTCCCATAGTGAAGGTGAAAAAAAGGGTCACCTGCCAAGGATGTTACAACCACACTATGCAGGGAACACCCACGTCAATCAGTAGTGAAAACAATACTCCACAGACTTGTCTACAGGCAAATCTGATGGAGGCATTTTTCTCAACTAAGATTTCCTCTTCCCAGATATATTTGGTCATTGTGGAGCTCCTATCCTTTCCATGTCACTAACTCCCCTTCTGCTGAAGGTTTGGTCATGAGTCTTAGTATCTGTTTTGAAACACTGCTAGGTAGAGTCTTTCAGATGCCTTCTGCAGTAGACTCTTGTCATACGTCCAATCTCCACCAAGGACCATGTATGGATATAACCTAGAACCTCTGCTCGGATGAAAGCCCGTGGTAGATCAGTAACCAATTGGTTTCCCATAGTAAGGGGAACAGGGACTATTTCTGACAGGAACTCAATGGCAGGCTCTTTGACCTCCCCACCTCCCAAGGGAGAAGCAGTCCTGCTAGGCCACAGAGGAAGACTTTGCAGCCAGTCCTGAAGATACCTGATAAAACAGGGTCAGATGAAAGGGGAGGAGGTCCTCCCCAATCAGTGGACTTGGAAAAGGGCAGGGAGGAGATGAGGGAGTGAGGGAGGGATTGGAGGGAATAAGGGAGCGGGATACAGCTGAGATACAGCATTAATAAAATGTAACTAATAATAAAAAAATAGAATTAAATTAAAAAAAGATTTCCTCTTCCCAGATATGTCTAGGTTTTTGTCCAGTTGACAAAAGCCAAACAGTATAACTGAACCCTGTCAACTTGACACACAAACACATATCTATTCTATATTAGTTACTTTTCTATCACTGTGGTAAAACACTGTGAGCAAGGCAACTTAAAAAATAGTTAAAAATAGGGCAGTGGTGATGCATGCTTTTAATCCTAGCATTTGGGAGACAGAGGCAGGCATACCTCTGAGATCAAGACAGCCAGGGTCACACAGAGAAACCCTGTCTGGACCCCCCTCCCCAATAAAGTTAAGTTGGGCTTACAATTCCAGAGGTGTAAGTCAAAGAAAAATGGGAGATCAAAACCTTTAGTGCACAGG